AGCTGTTCCAGGAGGTGGAGGACAAAGAAAGGTGGAATGACTTGCACATATCCTGTAAGCAAATCACCTGCAGAACAGAGCTGAGTGCTGCGATGCTCTGAGCAGTAGAGAGGCAGCAGACCCCTGCTTCACATCAACTGAATCTGCTTCTCCCAGCACCCTCAGCTCACTGTCACAAGACCATGCAAAATACTCATATACAGCGTAAAAATCCTCAGGCCACAGTCAATTGGGCCCTTTGGAAAAGCTGGGGGGCTGAGAGCATTGGAGGAATGAAGGTAGTCGAAAAGATCCCTGTAGGATGGTAAGAGCTGTGGCAGGAGCTGGGAAGGGAGAAGGAGGCAGCAGAGACAGTGGGAACCACTGGCTGACGCTGCTGAAGTGTCATCTTAATTATCTCTGGCAAAAGAACAGTGATTAACATCAATGACTGTGGACAACCTTTATGTAATTACTCATTAACATTTCTAAAATTGCACCTAGCTGCTACAGCAATACATGCTTTATAGATTCATCACACTGAAGTCCAAAAAGAATCATTAGATGGTCTAAGCAGACCTCTGAGCATTGCCAGACGCTATTACACTGCAGAAATTAGCACCAGAGGCGGCTCACCAGCTTCTGCTTGGCTCTCACGTACTTTCCAGAAAGGGCATCCAGGGATACCGAGCAATGGACAGTCTGCCCCATTCCAAGAGATGCTGTTCTAAATTGGGATATCTCTCTCGCCCCATCCCCAGGTTAAAAACCCATGTTGGCTGCCTTTTGTTTGTATGTATGGATACGGTACCCACAGCCCAGCAGGGGTGGGTGGGGACAGGAATTCTCCATCCCTGTCTCCTTTGTGCGGGGAAGGAGGAGGGAGCTGAATTAGAGGCTTCTGCATTGTCCATCCGTGCTCCCTCTTCAGACGCAAGTCCCACCTGCCAAAAGCTACCATCGGCCAAGAACATTAACAGAAGTCCTGTGAATAATAATTTCAACTAATGGATTAATTAGAGGAAATTGTGATCTGCTTACGAATGTCCTGCAAGCAGTAAAATGGAGCTAAGCCTTCCAGCTACACAATTCACTGCAAGACACTGGCTCTGCTGGTTGTACAGGAGGAAAAGGGTGTCATCCTTCTCAGCTACTGGTTTTAGAGACCAGTGCCAGTTAGATTTAATTCAGCAAAACCTGTTTCTTTTCCCACAGGAAGCTGAAAACTTGATGTTGAGAGCAGCTTGTGATCAGAGAAAGCCCACTAGATGCCCACTGTGACTCCTACATGTCGCAATTTATCCCACATTTCCATGCAGGCACTTCCATTTCCACACAGGTACAGGCCTAGCACTGCAGTTAAACTAAAGTGCTTCAGTCCTCAGATTGGGGAAAATGAGACAGTAAACACCTCCTGAGTCCACTGCCCTTGCAGAAGACCCTTGAGAGGAGACGTTACACAACCCCTCACTCCTCAGAGCAAGAAAAACAAAGCAAAAGTCCCAGAAAAGACAAAACCACCTCACGTAATCCAGGACAACCCCAACCCACCACAGATGTGATCCTGACTGCATGGGTCTTAGTGGGAAATAGAAAACTGAGTAACTTGCAATTGGTGTTGAACTCTGGCCAGACTTGAAACAGCATTTTGGGGACAGAAGGACTGTAATATGGTCACATTAAAAGCCCAAGGAAGGATAAGGTCCACTGGGAGCTTCATCCGTTCCATCGTTTGTCCTGCACTGCTGTTCATGGGATTCAAACAGCCAACCAAGAAGCACCCTGCACATCTCAGGGATGATGAATGGCTAGAGTATTAAATATAACATTTCTGCTTTCACAGCTGAAGCACAGGGTGGTTATCCCAGCACCCACATGCACAAAGGGAAAACTAGGAAAGAAAGGGGATCTGCGTAGAGATTCACCACTCTGGGACATCTCTGGTGCCTGAGGTGGAGGCGCAAGGGGAAGGTGTGTCAGAGCAGGACGGAGCATAGGCAAGGGTCTTGCCAAGAACTAGAGAAAAACCTGATGTTAACCTCTTAGTTTTGGATGAGCATAACAGTTTGGGCTTCAGAAATAATCAATAGTCTTTCTGCTAGTGAAGTATTTCACTCCCAGCAGTTTCATGGAGAGTTTGAGGGGGATTATATATTTATGGTTTCCCATTTGAAAGACTTTTAGCAGGTTTACCTCAAGCATATGGATCCTATTTTGGTTCTTTTGTTTTAGCACTTAATGCTTATGAAATTGCCAGTTAATGACATCCATGCCTAAACCATGTTGCTTTTTTAAGTAAAATGTCTACCAAAGGTCCATGTTCATACTTACCACTTCTCAAGTACAGCAATGAAAGTTTTAAGAGGCTTGTTACCTACCGTGTCTGGGGGAGGGAACCAAGCGAAACATGAAATTACAAACAGGGTGTTAGATTAAAGCCTTGCTAGCCCTGCTTGAGCTGAGGCTTAAGGCAGAGCAACCCACTGACACCAGTGTGGACCACAAGGCTGGGTGCAGGGGCAGATGGGTGCAGGGAAGCTCTGGTGGGGGGGGGGAACGACAGGATGGGAGCATGAGGACCCTGGGGCAGGGTGAGGAGTACCTGGGTGCAGGGACACCCTAAGGTGATATTGGGGGGGAGTGCCCATCTACTTTGTCCCCAGCCCGGCCTCGGGCTGACCCGGGGCCGCGGGAGGTAACGGGGCCCCCTTTGGTGCTGCACGACTGGACAAACCCCGGGCCCCCACCGTGAACGGGCCGCTCCGTGCGCGGAGCCTCCGCGGGGCGCGGAGCAGGTCGCCCGCCTGCCCTGGCTCCGGTAATCAGCTTTGATTTGAGCCTTTGATTGCGCTGCACGTGGGGACGAGCCTCCTCACTTCAAAAGAGCGTGGGAAATCCCGATTAAAAGGCTTTTCTCCCCCGTGGGGACCGACACCTTCTTTGAAGCCCTTCCAGGAGACAGCGCAAAGGCACCCACCGCCGAAGGACCCGATCGATACTTTAAGTGACTTTAATTTCTTCCCCCCCCGCCTCCTGGCTCTCTGCCCCCCTCCTCTCCTCTCAGTTTTGGAAACACCTGGTAAGTTGTAAAATGATTTACGAAGTGAAAGTGTTAAATGAGGCCACCAGCTGTAAGACTGACAGAGCTTTATGAGTTTTATTAGGTGCCCTATTATGGAAAATAAACTTTAATCCGTCCATAAAAACCAGAATCTGAAAAACATATTTGCCCTTGTAGTCTGGAACACTGAAGGTATTCTTGTGAGACGCTGGGCTTTAAAGAGATTAATTTTATTGAGACAGACACAATACACCGGTAGGACTTTGATACAGGGTCCGTGAGCAGCTCCCCGGATCCCGCACGGCTGGTTTTCATAGGGCTGAGACAGGTTTGGACACACACCTCTTGGGCTTACAGCACATTTCTGGCCCTGTGGCTCACGTCTGGCAGTTTAATTAGCGGCTATTTAATTGGAAATTAAGGGCTGGGGGAGGATATTTTGGGGGTGAGCTCAGGTAGCTCTTGATTTTTTTATATTATTAATAATAACTTTAAAGATGTGTCCCCAAACCAGTGGGTTTTAAATAATTTAAGGTGTAGGCGAGAGGTAAGTCCTGCTGGAAGTGATTGATTCGGACACGTGGTCGAGCTCAGGGCAGAGGAGCCTGCGCCGCCATTGCGCGGGGGCTGCGCGGCCCTACGCGGCCGTTCACCCGCGAAGAGGCAGCCGCAGCAGCGGCTTGGAAAATCGCAGGGCGACGAATACCTTTCGTTTTCAACCGGCTTAAATTGTCTACAACCTGCGGCATAAAGGAAATCGTTTACAAATTGAAATCAGAGCCTGAGGCGCGACTGTGTGCTTACAAGGGTGAGGCTGAGTCAAGTTTATCAAGACCAAGTTCTTTTGACATACGGGATCCATTCAGATTTATGATTTACCCCGGTGTGCCGGGCCGGTAAGGCAAAAACCGCGTTGTCTCTATAGATGCCACCTCCGGCGGCACCACCTGAAGCGCTCCTCTGTGGGGAAAGCTTTTCCTCTACATAATCCCATACCAGAATCTCCTGCACCCACAGCCCATGTTTCACGGGTCGGATTTTTATAGAAGGGGCCGTGCTGTTCTCTTGTGGAAGGTTAACGCGGGTTAAGGAAAACAAACAAAAAAACCCCATACATATATGTATTTAAAGCTTACGGGAGTAGGAACGTTCCGATTTTCAGAGCTCCCCATCCTCAGGGGCTATACAGAGAGCGGTGGCACCAGGGATATTGGGGCCGGGACCCTCAGACTCCACCGGGTCCCTCTGCGCCCCTGCACAGGAGCGGGAGCTGAGCCGCACCGTAACTCATGAGCAGGGATGAATTGCCAGACGTGGCCCTGAGCTGGTGCGGATGAGCCAGTGATTATATTTAAATTCGCTATAATTGATTTGGGGAAGAGCTGCGGTGACAAGGATTAATTGATCCGCAAATTTATTGGCAAGGTAAATCCCGCTGTTAGCAAAAAATCCGCGCTTCGCTTCTGGAGCAGCCGCCAGGAAACAGTAGGGGGAACATCCCCGGTACAGGGGGAGACCCTCGCTCTTTTGCCAGCCGAGGCCCCTTAGAAACCAGCCCCGGAAGAGAGGGGAGGAGGGACCCCACCGATGCCTAGGCTCCCCCTCCCAGCCCCGGAGCCACTTCCCGTCTGGGACACGTTGCTCCGGGATGAGGATGAGGGGAAAGCAGCCAACCAAACCAGAGGCAGAAGGGGGAGTGTGTGTGCGTATGTGTGTGTGAATCCGTCTCGGTTCCTCCAGTCTCAGAAAGACCCATGGCAATACTAGATACGGCGCCGAATTAAGTTGGTGCTAGAAACCGGTTCCCCACCCGGAGTCCAGGCATGCCCCAGCCCGGGAGAACCCAGAATCCCCGCTCCCCCTCCACAGAGCGCTCATACCTCTCAAGTACAAAACGCCGTTTATTTTCCACCCCGCCGCGCAGGGGGGAAGGCTTGGGGAATAATTTAGCATGCATAAGTAGAGATCATTTTTTGTCTTTTTTATAAATATGATATACAAAAATAAAGACAGTACTGAGATTTCCAGCACTTTTAACGTTCATGACATAAACAGTTTTCCCGATATAGAGTAAGAACAAAACATTTCCAATATTCAGCAAAAGGAACGCGCTTCCAGGGGGTAGGGATGGGGGGAGTCAAGGTTTGACTGATTTTCAGTCAATAACACTGTATTCACCGTAAATCCTCTTCCCCGCCCTGCATGCGGAGGATCCTCTTCTCCATCCCCCTCCATGCCTGGAGGGGTCGGACCAAGGAGGGCAGCGGGGCCGGTGCCGACCAAGAGCGGCAGGGCTCACCCCGGAGGAAGGGAGGGAGCGCGGCGTGCAGGGGGCTCACTGGGGCTGCGCCGGGGCTCCGGGCCGGCCCCGAGGCTGCGTGTCCTCCTCGTCCGCCTCGGAGCAGTCGGAGGAGTGATACGGGCAGCATCGTCCGGCCGCCGGCGGCTCCTCTTCCTCCTCCTCTTCTTCCTCGTCCTCGGGTTCGCTGTCGGGCAGCTCCCGCATTCTCCTCCCGCCGCTCTTCTCCGGGGCTGACAGCAGCAAATCCTCATCCCCCTTGTCCTCCCCGCCGCCCCCCTTCTGCTTCTCGGCCTCCTGTGCCGCCTGCTCCTTCGCCTTCTTGCTGCGCTTCCACTTCATGCGACGGTTCTGGAACCAAATCTTCACCTTGGGGAGACGGGGACACACACACACACACACACACCAGTTCACTCACCTCTCCCCCGGCGGCAGCACCCACCCCACCACCAGAACCCCCAGCAGGCGGGGACTCACCTGCGTCTCGGTGAGCATCAGCGACGTGGCCACCTCAAAGCGCTTGGGCCGGGAAAGATACTTGTTGAGCTTGAACTGGTGCTCCAGCTCCAGCAGCTGCTGGCTGGTGAAGGCCGTGCGGGGTCGGCGGCACTTCCCCAGCAGGTTGGACTGCGCCTGGGCTGGGAAAGGAGAGCGAGGGGTGAGGGGAGGGAGCAGAGGTGAGCGCGGAGCAGCCCCACCGCGGCCGCGCAGCCGCCGGGATGAGGCAGGAAAAGCAGGGAGGCGGGAATTGGAGCAAGGATGGGCAGTTATCCACCGGCGCACGGACCGAGGGAGAGATCTCCACCAGCCTCCGGCACGGTGTCAGCGCAGCCCACACAAGGACCAAATAAATAAAGACAATTAAATCTTTTCAATCAATAAAAATATGTCCCTTGATTTCCCAAGAGCCTAACAAACGCGAGACAATAAAACGGAGGCAGGGATTGCGGCGAAGAGGTCCCGAGCTCTCCGGGGAGCAGCAATTTGCTCCATTTAATGTTTTAGTTAAACGCGCCGAACTCCCAGTCCGCCCATACCCGTTTAATTAACGGGATTGCAGCGGGGACCCTTCCCTCCCGCCAGCCGGGAGTACCGGCTGCCCGTCAGAGCGTCAATCAGTGCCGAGAGCTGGAAAACTGCCTTTGAACAGGGAAAAAAGAATATACGTAAAAGCGTATTGTCCACGTTCGGGAAGAATAATTCAAATCAAGGACTGTGTGTGTATATGTAATAGGTAATATTTACGTAAAAGACACGGGGATATATATATGGATATATGTATAAAAATACATATAGAAGACCGGGGGATGGGCAAGAAGGAAGCCACGGGGCGGGGGGGGGAAGGCTGCTGCCCATTTCTCGAAGCATTTCGGTACTTCGGCTTATTTGGTTTAGAAAGAAGCTGTCCAAATCAGAGGCAGGGCCGCGCTCGGAGCCGCTCTCTAAAGAGGGCGGACAGAGGAGGACAGTGTCCGTTCCCGGGCGGCCGCGCCGGGGAGGTTTTGCCACTGCGGTGCGATTTTCCAAGGCTCCATTCTCGTTTCGCTCCTGTTATTTATTCCCGCTCTGCTCCTTGTTTGAGAGGAAGGGCTCTGACAGCTCTCCTAATTATTTTTCTTTCTTCCTGAATGTTCCAGTCTAAACAACCCCAATTCGAGGGAAAACAATGGACTTTTTTGTCTGCGAATGTGTGCGCGGAGTACGAGAAGGGGAGGGGGGGAAAAAGCCAAACCCAACACACTAAAAAAAGAAATCGCAATTCTATTCCTGGCACGGTTTTGGTAAAACTACACCTCCGGTATTGTTAAATCGGCCATTCCCACAGAGAGCTCACACCTCCGAAAACGATCTTTGCCTAAAACAGATGCACGCAAGGTTCCCTCCACCGCCGCGAGGCCTAGTGCTCGGCAGAGCGCCTTGGCCGCGGATTGCCTGCTTCAACGCTGCCTTCCCAGCCCAAAACGGAAACCGTCTGACTCCATTTATTTGGTGTCCCATCACCATCCCCAGGGAAGGCGGAACCCCGAATTTCTGGCTAACCCCAAATGCTCCCTGTGCTCCCATCAGAGCCTCCCATAATTATTATAAGCCCGCTTCCGATAAAAGAGAAATAAAATTGAGAACGGCAACTACGCGATGGGACCTGCCACCCCGCCTTTGAGGGTAGACATTGAGACCAGGGTCTTGGAGGAGTCCAGGGGGCTACTGCCCCTGCCTTGCCCGCCCCTCCCCTACGGCTTTTGCACCCTGTGGACGGCAGGACCGGGCGTTCGCAACGGCAGGAACCGATTTCCCACCTTCCTGTTGATCCTGCCGGGAAAAGTCAGGCTGCAGTGGGCGACCCCAAGCCCCGGTCCCCTTTGTGGATCTCTATTTCCTCCCTCGAATAACAATTAAATAAATAAATAAATAAATATAATACAACACTAAATGTCGCCTCCGGTTTAAATCTGCAGTTTATCTACGCGAGGGCAGCGATTTTTCCCTCCCCTCCACTTTCCTAGAAACAGCTCCCTGAAGGCCCCAGCGCTGGGACGGGACGGGGATGCGGGTCAGGGAGATAAGGTTGCAGCGGGAGGCAGATACTCACAGCTGAAGTCAGGCATTTTGGGGAGGATCATGCCGGCTGTGGAGGCCCGCAGCCACTGGTCCAGCTGGAAGGTACCGGCACTGAGCTTGATAGGATCGGCGGCGGGATGGGCCGGGTGTGCTCCCTGCACTTGCGAGTAGGGGTAGGAGAGGGCCGGGTGCTGCCCGCCCAGCGCCGAGTACCCGTACACGGGGTGCCCGTAGAGGGCCGCCTGCGCCGGCATGCCCGGCCCGCCGGGAGCCGCGGGGTGCAGTCCCAGGGCCATGCCGGCCGCCGAGGCGTGGTGGTGGGGGTGTGCGCCGGTCCCGGGCAGGAAGCCGGGTTTGGGGACCAGGGCGCAGTGTGCGGCCAGAAGGCGCGGCGGAGATGGGCTGTCGGTGCGCAGGCAGTCTGCGGGGCCGCCGGCGGGATGCTCGGAAGAGGATGAAGAGGAGGAGGAGGAGGAGGAGGAAGACGAGGAAGAAGAAGAGGACGGGGGGCTGCCGCTCCCGCTGCTGCTACTGCCGCTGCCGCCCAGCGAGGTGACCAGGGCCAGCGGCGCGCTCTGCCCCGCCGCCACCGCCGCCGCCGCCGCCTTGGGGGGGTCGACAGCCAGCAGCGCGTCGATGCGGAAATTTTTGGATTTTTCCATGGGAGCGCGGGCGGGCAGGGCCGAGCAGGGCCGGGAACGAGGGAGGGCAGCGGCGACGACGAGCGGGCGGGCGGGCTGCCCCAGGCCGGCCGCGTCTCCCGGCGGCGGCGGGCAGCAGTGCGGCCACGCTCCGCGGCGCGCCCCTTCAAGGGCCGCAGGCGTCTCCCATTGGGCCGGCGCCGCTGCGGCCTCGCCCGCCATTGGCCCCGCTGCCCACCTGTCACGGAGGAGAGGCCCGCCCCCTTCCACATCCCCTTTTCCCCCCGCCCGGTTGCGGGTAGCGCGGAGGGGGGTTTGCCCAGTGTGGATACTGAGCACCGGCTGCGCTCCACGGGGATAGCCTTGCAACCCCTGGGCCTACCTGGCCCTGCCGGCCGAGGGGTCTCTCCCCCCCTGCTCAGTGATCGCTTTCCACCGTTCCCGCACACGCAAACGTTTGCCATAAACGCGCCGCCGACCGCTTTTTAACGAGTCGGAAAAAATAAACACCTGTGGGTCAGGGAGTCACGCCTGCCACCAGCCCCCGGGTTTGTCAACAGCGTTATTAGACCTGCTTATCTAACACAAACAGGCCCGAACAGAAAAGGGAAAGAGCGGGGCGAGGGGTCGCTCCCCCGTTTCCCGGGGGGCGCAGGGTGAGGCGGTGTGAGCGGGAGGTCAGGCCGCGTTACGGACCGCTGCTAGGGTAAACACGCTCTCTCTTCGAAGCGCCTTTGCCAGCCCCGGGCAGAAGGCACCGGGCTGCGGGAAATGCCCCTGTGGCGGCCGCGTCGCCGTGAGCCCCCCCCCGGTACGGGCGGCTTCGTGCCCCAGGGGCAGGGGTGCCACTGGGGCAAGGGAGCGCTGTTTTCCGCCGTCCGTGCCCGGGGGATGAGAGACCTGGAAGCACCGAAAGGAGCGAGGAAATGGGCGAAAGAAGGGAAGAGAAGGAGGAAACAGAGTCCGGTACAACCAACAAAATACCCGACAGCTTTGCTCCTGCTCCCCTTTCCGCCGCTGCTCGGGGGGTAAAAGGCCTGGAGCACCTCTGCGGGGTGTGCGCACGCACACACATAGATATTCACATGTGAACGCACACAGACACGCGCGCTCCTTTTGCTCTGTGCCCTGATATTCCCCTTCTCTCCTGCACCGCCTCTCCTTTCCCCTGACCTCTCTGACTGGGGCCTCCCGACGCACTCGCACAGCAGGCACACGGAGGCAAGCAGGTCAGACATGTCGACACAACAACAGCAAGTGCACAGGCACGAGCAGGGCGGGCAAGTGGACACAACCACGGCAGACACACAGACGCACGTGTACAGGCCAGACACAATCGCTCTCGGCACACGGCCGTGGCAAGCAACATCCGCGCACCAGTGACCCCACAACCGCACAGGGGTACAGGCAGAGCAAATGCACCAGGACCCGCACAACAGCCGTTCCCGCACCAGGAGCCCT